TCTTAAATAGCTTTTTGGCTTGGCACCATAAATTATAACTAGTTTAATCTAAATTACTATGCTGTAATATCATACAAAAATATACATTTTGTAATACAGATTCACTTCTGTGAAATACTAATGTTATGGAAAACAATGCGTCATTGTACCATGATTCTTTTACCACCTTCAATTATGAAGCGAGGTGCGCACAGTGCAAATGTACATAGAGAGCGCTAGTTGGAGCCTGAATATGTATATCGTAATAACAGCACATAGAAATGCGATATATCCTGGCTAAATCAATTAATTCTCTACCAGCAATGGTTTTAATTTAGAAATGGTTCTGAAAAACACATTGTAAAATCTACATCAGTGAATCGTATAAACATATATTACGACTAGAAAGTTTTCTCCACTATGGTTTAGTTCAAATTTAATCTAGTTTTAATTGTAGCTTTGTTTTTAAAATCATCCATGCAACTTGCTCTATATATAATGAAAAAAAAAATTAAAGATTAAAAATGAAGTTAGTCTGCATGTGGATTTCTGCCGGTTCTCATAATAAAGGCAACTGTTTCCACGTTATTGAAAGCGACAGCATCACAAATCAATGCATGTCACAACAGAATAAAGACAGATGTATCTGATTAATCAGAATTAAATTTTAGAAGTGAAAGAAGCATCTAAAAATCAAAGCAAACATTTCTGCTATCCCAGTTGTTTTTTTTCCTCTTTCTAAGCAGCCCATACAATGCAGTGAGAGAACAACAAAGCCTGAATTCTGTTGATAAAACCAATTTCTGCTATAAACTTCTCACTGTGGTAATGGATATAGTATGGAGATGTGCACACTTCATATAACCTCTGACTTATTTTTGTACTATGTTTATACAAGCTTTCTGATTATAGGTTTTAATGCAAATTTTGTGTACTAAACAATACTCACTAATAAATTACAAGTAAACCAGCTCAGTATAACACTTCTAATAAAAAACTCCCACTCACAGTTATTTGTTTAATCAATGCAGTATCTCTCATTCTGTGGGTAGTTTTCTGTTCTAAGCTCTAAAAGAAGTAATAATCGGTATTCATTTATTGTGGGCTCTATGATATGTAGCTCCCCCATTTCCCTTCAATAGCTTGCCAACAAAATTTACAAATAACATGTTGCAGCACATAGTTATCTGAATAAGACAGAAATACTATTTGAAACAAGAGAGCAATGAGCTATTGATCCTGCAGTCAAAAAGGGAAGACATGAATGTAGGAAAAGGTGTGTGAAGGGACATATTTATTCTGCTACCATTTGTCTTTCCTAGTGATAGTCCATTTTAAAAGCAGTTATTCTCATTTCTGGAAGAAATCAAATCTACTTGATACTAAAGCAGCTGTGCAAAGATGCTTAATTTTCTAAATAAAATTCTACAAGTCACTATCTCCCTAACAGATACGTACAGACACATACAGGTACAGTACTTTATAATTAATATTTGCATTATGCTGTAATATCCAGTACCTTCTAAAATATTTAGTGTGCAGTATATTTAAAGGTATAAATACTCTGAAGGAATTTCAGCTATTTCTCATGTTAGCTTTTTTTATGTTTCAACAATAGTACAGTAGTATGCAAGAACAACTTTTGCTGAATCACTCAGAGTTGAAATCCTCACCCTACAAACAGAAAATGCTACACAGGTTGTCATGAAGGCAATTATGCAGCAAAGTATGTGGGTGTTTGAAAAGGGAGTGAGCATGGCATGAAACAGTTAGTGCTCTGCTAACTCCCTCTGTGGCAATATGTGATGCTTTCAAGGTGAGGCCAAGACAGATGAGAGTTGAGAAGGCTGGGGGAGTAAATTATGGTCCAGGGGCTACAACTGCAGCACTGCTATCCAACAGTTCCCCTATACAGGAAAGTATGGCCTCTCATGGGCTGCAGGGATCCCTAGCCTAGCATTTTAGAAAAGTTTTCTGTGCTAGGTAGCAGAAGAGGGAAAAGGAGAGGAAGTTTATATGAAATGAATCCTCTGTCTTATGAGAATCACAGCTTTCCAGCCCGAGTCCTTTTTATCTCTGTCCTTGGATCTCCTTCTTCCAAGATTTATCCTGCTTTTCCTTCTGATCTTATTCCACTACACAGTAGTTAATGCATGGAAATCTGTGGTTAGGCTGTATATGCTTCTCACTAGCTATATGTCACTCAACTTTAACCTGCATCAGTCACTTTTGCTCAACTGCCAAAGGATGCCCATGGTCAATAGGGAAGTCACTGGTTTCCCTATCAGTGACTGAACACAGTAGTGAATTCAGTAATCAGGTCTGGAAAAGGAAGCATTTCTCCTGCTGCTAAGCTCCCCTTTGCCACACAGGGCTAACTATTGCAAATAAGTAGGAAGCCCACAAGTTAAACCTAACCAGGACAGATAAAATGAGGACACAAGAGGGACGAACACAGAATTCTGCTTGTAACACATACTATCAAGGCTGAAGTGGAGGAGCTTCAGCTACCAAAACCTGTGTCTAGCGAGCTCCCCTTCCTCCCAGAAGCTGTTCCGCTCTTGGGAACTGTACTGTCTGGGGAGCAGCTCTGCCTCCTCCCACTGACTCTGCAGGCTTAGATAAGGAAATCTTTGTTTCCTGGTCCTGCTACTCAGTTAGCTGTGACTAGCCGGGCAGGACAGCTCAGTCTGAAATATCTACTTCCATAGGTACTGCAGCCCAAGAAAGCATTCTGCTCCCTGTTTGAACACTGTGTGAGATTTATGACTACACAATCAGAAGCTAAGTTTAAAGAAAAATAAGTTAGCACATTATGCCAACGTATATTATTCCAAACTCTCTGCCAACTCCTTGTTCTGCATTAAGTCAACAAGAGCAATCTTTGTGTAGTACTCGTTCACATAAGAACTGCTGTACCTCAGTGAGCTTTTCTTCCTATTTGAATTTTTTTTGTAGCATTAATTACCATGATACCATTATAAATAAAAGCAATTTTATTTCTGCAGCACCTCGCAGCCAAGCATCTCAAATCATGTCATAAATACTAAGGCTTAACACCTGTGGGAAGTGCACTGTTGGGAAGAATACAATAGTAGAAAAACTACAGGGTACTTGGGTGGGACACAGTCCTACTGCACACAGCAACACGATTCAAGAGTTTAAGCACCAGAGAAAGACTACTGCCTCTTATTGAACTTTAGAAGAAAGCTTAGCTAGAAATCACTGGACTAGAATTCATCCAAAGTACTTTCCTGAACTTCTCTTTGAAATAAATACTACCTGCAATATTTTGCATTTTCTTGCAACAAATATTAAAAAAACTGTATTTTGTAACTACTTAAGGTACTTGCTTTTAGCAATCCTCTCATTTGAAAGATGTCCACCCGATTCACACCTCCAGAGCACGGCATCCAGTGGAACACTTTGCAGTTGCCATTTGAGAAATGACTCAGAGTCTGCTGCTTAGTGGAGTACCAGCATCACTTCCTACAACATGCATGTCTTTCCTCCTGAACTCCCACCAAAACTGGAACTCAGCCAGCGTCTGTTTAGCTCTTGAGATACACAGTAATCAACGTGCAGTCTGGCAGGACTGCGAGCATACCAGCAATAAAACTGACAAATAAATAAATCTCAGTACTTTCTATGAGTTGCCTTTAGCCCAGGCACTGAATAATTACAGCTGACGGTATGTTAAACACGTAAGTCAGTTGTAAGAACACTTGAATGACATTTATGTCCTAAAAAGCATTTTAATAAGAAACCCTGTGAAGTAGATTGGAATCCCCATTGCAATCCAGAACACCTACTTCCTTCGGGCTACTTCAGGCTTAAGTGACAGCGGAAGCCAGTCTGACATATTTTACAGTATGCTGTAGTAATACAGCACTTTGTCCTTAGACCTTCCTCATATTAGAGGGCCACGCTCTATAGTTAATTCACTTATGGTACTTACCATGTAGAGGTGGCAGAGTAACAAATGCACCTTTTCTCTTCTGCTAAGGTCTCCATCCATCAGTGCACTTTTACATCCCACCTCTGCACCAAGAATAAAAGCCCTTTGTTTCCAAATTCATCTCAAAAGCTCTCTTCAGCCCACGCTCCTGTTTGTCACTGGTTGACAACACATTACCATTATTCACACTGTTACTCAGGCCTATGCCCAAGGACTTACCTTTGATCCTCTTCCTCTCTCCACAAGTCAAACTATATCTACATCCCAGCTCAAATCCTGTTTCTTTTCTCTGCAATACATTTATCAAAACTGTTATTTTCTTTCACTGTCTAAACTTCTTGCTCAGTCTCATTTTGCCATTTTGAATGTAGTAACAGGAAACCCATCCTGAATGCAATTCTCTGGTCAAACAAGCAATTACATACTTTAAATCTACACCAAATGCTTTATTTTAGGTGCCACACTGAGCCATAGCCTTCAAGACTTAATTCTAACTCCTTCCTCTTCCACTACCTGTTACTGAAGGGTTATGTCACTGTACTACAAGCCTTGAGCACAACTACTATTCCTTCCATAGGCTTGTTTTATGTTGCCTCCATCTTTCTCTTCCACTACCAGCCAGCCTCAAGCTTACACCCACATTATCACATTGCAACTGCAACTCAATTTCAATGGCTTATCTTGGCAGTCCTTGGCACAGAAGCCAGCTTTCATGAGTTGCGTGATAAAGCTGTTACTCATTCCCTTTGCATTCTGATCCCTCACAGAAAACATTTTCACTGCAATATTTAGAAAAAGAACTATTACCCTTACTAGATGGCTACTATTAAAAGGCTGGGGAATATAAGGGAAGAATGTAACAGCAAACAAAACCAGGAATTGTGTCACCTTTACACTGCACTGTTGGAACCTCCCAGAGTAGTTAACCTACACAATGTACCATACACTTCCCTGCTATCTTTATGCTAGCTAGATTTAATAGTGCCATTCCCAAAAGATTCAGATTTTTCAAACATACAAAGAAATCGTTACATGCTAAATATACCTTAAAATATTTCCTTACCTTATCCAGGGAGAATGTTTTAGTGACAGCAAAGCCCCATCCAGCTTCAAAAGCTCTTCGAATCATTGAAGAACTAGTAGTAGGGGTTGCACTGGCAAGGCCAAAAGGATTTGGAAACTTCAGTCCAGCCATTTCTACACTGATGTCTACTAAATCGATAGGAGTATAGAAGAGTGGTAGTTCTGGAACAGTAGAAACTGCAATACCATGTAAGGACTGTAAAAAACAAACAAAAATCACAGACATTTTTGCTGATTCATTTTTATATAATCTATTATTAACCCTGATAAAGGAATAATTAATATATAATAACCCAAAGCTCAAGTATTCTATTATGTGTTCAGACTTGGAAATCAGCAAAACAGGCAAACACTTGCATATGTAACATCTTCTGTCCAAATAGCATTCATGCTGAAATATTATGCCATGCTGGAAATAACTGAACAATAATAACACTGAAACAGTTATTTTACATCCTGTACTACTAGCCTGGTTCAGTCCAAAGGTTTGTTCAGCCATTCTGAACAGCCAGTTCTGTTCCCTACAGCAGCCAGCAGCAGTGAGATTGAAAAAAAACCAACAGGGTATGCGCAGACGGACCCTTTCTAGTTTTCTTCCCAGTTGCCTATCTATAAAAAGTGTAGGGACTTGTGAAAAATGAGGGAAGGCATCCATGTGCAGGATCACTCAGCCCTAACTCAATGTATTTTGAACTCCTGCAACTTTTTTCCCCCCTTTTAAAGATTTTATCTCGCCTATGCAATGGGATACGTATCAATATATGCAAAACTATTATTGTTTTAATATTTAATTGTATTAACATGAATACTTTAAGGGTGACAAAAATTAGACTCTGATTTGGGATCAAAGAACATCATACACATTACGGCTGTGACACCACAGTCACTTTTGTTTTCGTTTTGAAGACAGCCTTTTCTCTGGAGAGTCCGTGAAAAGCTTTCAATGTAAATGTTCCATCTAATACTGTAAAAATCGTAGAGAGAAAATCTTTTTCCATGTATGGATACTGAACAGCATCCTAATCAGGCTGTGGTAGGTAGAAGTAAAATCCTTGCTGACTCAGATGGTTGACTCAATAAAATCAGAAAGAAATAAAGCAGGGATTTCTAACACAGAGAAGCCCTACACAGTCTGTGTTCCTAGTAAGATCACAGCAGTTTCTTCTACCCTTAAAATGAAGATTTCGTCAGCAGGACAAAAAGAACCACTACTGGAGGTGTGGGGAAGATTTTCTGTAACAGAGTAAAAACCTCAGCCACTTACAGATTGCTGCCTTTTGGGTTGTTTTTTTAAAGGAACTTACTTATCCCATTTTTACCTGTGAAAACTAATAAGCATGGATGGGATGAGGGGTTTTTTTGTTTGTTTTAGTGCCTTTTGTTTCCCAGGCTGGTTCAAAACCTGAACGTTCACATGTCTGTTTTGTTTTGGGACTGCCTGGACTCACGTCTCAGATTCTGACTCCAAATCTTTGATTCCTTGGACAGAGAGAATACATTTGGGGGTCAAATTTTCTCATGGCTTAAAAGCACTGAAAGTAGTGGAATTGTCCTAACCTGAATGATGTAAACCTAAATGCATTCCTAATGGTGGACATTTTGAGAAAAGCTAATTTTTAAAGATCCCTAACACTTGGGTCCAAACTCCCTTCAGTATCATGACCTCTCTCAGCTAGCAGCTGATGCAGCCACACTTTATAAATAAAGTCAGACATCCCCTATTTCCTCCCTCCTGAATGCTCACTGCTTCCTCTGTGTCATACTCCACAGGGCTGTTTTCCTACACCAGGAGAATCTGAGTTCTTAGAAGACCAATCAGCCCAGCAATCTACATCCCAAAAGCTTTTGCTAACTGACAAATCAAAGAAAAGAAAAGAAAAAAAGTAATCTTTTGATTATTTTGGGTTTGATTTAATCTTTAACTATTTTTTAGTCTTTCTTAACTAAAATTTCAACTGCAAAACGTTGTTTGCAATGCCAAAAACAGAACTTCCTGGATCACATGATTGAAATTAAAGCATTTTTAAAATGTTAGCACTTTTTGTCTCCTACATATTTGGAAGTGGGGCAATCTGCTGAAATCAACACTGATATACTGAACTCTTACAGTGCACTCTGATTTTGATTCTGTAAGAATGACAGCAAAGAAAGACTTAGGGAAAGGTTTTTGGCCAATTCCACTCTATGTGCACATGTGAGTAAAAAATTCTCCATTTTGAAAGCAGTTATTTGTTAATTCATTTGCTATCCAGAATTGTTCAAATGTTCTCTGTGAATGTCCTTCAGTCCAAGGATTGCTCAGGAACTATTAATTGCTTGTATAACTGTAAATGTTGATTGCTATAGACAGATAGACAGACAGCTTAAGTGCTTAATATGCAGCTTAAGTTACATTGTATTGTTTCTTTTTGCAGGCAGGACAAATTAATCTCTAAAAGTTGTTCTCACCTAAAATGAGTGTTGCTTGGAAGTGATTCTTAACTAGAGACCCCAGATGAGCTTTCTGTGATAAAACAGAATATAAATCCTATACAAGACAAAAAAATAAAATCCACCAGAGCAGTGAAAGACTTTTGAACCAGGTGGTTGAATACACCTATGTGAAAATAGGCCTCGCCTCCTGCATGCCTTCATGCAAACTGGTCATAAGGCAATTCCTAAACCGTATGCAAAGAGGCCTATTCTTCCTGCCAAACTTCCCTCACAAAGAGCAAAACCACAAACAATTCCACCCAGACACACTCAAGCACCACAAGATGTGCCTAATGCTTTGTTAATGACAAGTTGATGCAGGTGGAGGTGGCAGGGCGAGGACTGAAAAAAGGTTTCAATGGAATAAACCAAGTCTTTAAAAACACACAGGGGCAGGATGCAGCTGAAGGTTCAGTAGCCAGTGGCTGTACATCCTCGCAAATTTATCTCTCTCCTTCGTATCAATTCCCTTTTTGCTCTATTTAGTTTTTTTGCTGTTTTTTCCTTTCAGCACAATACTTATAAAAGAAATAAGCCCTGATGCGTTGCTTTCTACAAAGCAAAACTTTTGGCAAACTAAAATGTTTTATAGCTTCCTGAAAGTAAAATCCTCTTTATAATGAAGGATTTCCCTGACATTGCACAAACAAATAGGAAAAGAAAGCCTGCAGGCAAGGGTTTATTTATAACAACTCTTTCCTTGATTTGTAAAAGTAGAGGACAGAAAGTGTGGCCCATTCTTCCCCTAATTTGATGCCAACCAGCTGAGCTACCAATATTGCAGGTACTTACTGTTCCAGTCACAGCAACTTTTTGGATACTGGAACAGGGTGCTGAAAAATCCCCAGCACACTGCATGCAGTGGCCCCAGCTTGCTCTAACCAGGATATGCCTAGAGGCAAAAGCGGCATAGTCTGTAGTGTAGGGCTGAGAGACAGGAACTCAGCTTTAGACCTGATACAATTTGTGACACTCATTTTCTTTAGATGGAGAAAATTCTTAACCACAGCGATATGGTCTAACTCCATTTTCAGGCCCTTAACAAAGATAGACTGTGAAAGTGAGTAGTTGTATTACTGTTATTTTTCACAAGTAATAGAGAGCCTTCTCTACAAATCCTACTGCCTGGAAGAGTTATCCTGAATACTTTCATCTCACTCCTGCCTTCTCTATTTTTAAGTCTGATCTTAAAACATATCTTTTCTCCCTTGCATGTGCTGCTTCTATCCTCTCTCCGATTAGCCATTATTTAACTTTGTTAAATACGTTTAAACTTTGTTAAGTATGTTTATGTTATTTCATACAATCTCAGAACGGTTGTGGTTGGAAGGGATGCCTGGGGACCATCTACTAGTGCAACAACCTTGCTCAAAGCAGGGTCAACTAAAGCAGGTTGCTCAGGGCTCTGTCCAGTTGGACAGAGATATTCTAAGCTCCTTCCTGGCCTTCTGTTTCTGGAACAGACATATTGCTTACTCAGTGGTAAGCAACTAAAATACCAGGTTTCCTGCACTTGCATTTACTCCACCTTTTTGCAAATGCTGCTTTGTTACTTGTCTTCATGCTAGTGTTTCATATGTTGTTCTAGCTAAACAAAGGGACATTCAATTTTTCCTTTGGTTATCCTGAAAAGAAGCAGACAACATAACTAACGGCTTCGAAGACAAGCTTCCTGGGAACCACCCATCTCTGGTATTGATTATGAAATAATGTACATTCATGCATGCTCAAGGAATATATGAGAATGGTCAACCTTCATAAAAGGATCAACAACTATACTCTTCAGACACAAAGCCCATATATTCTTTGACAGCATAGATAAAGAAAAAATAGCAAATATACAACACTGGTTCAAAATAGCACAGTGATGTGCTCAAAATTCGTATTGAATAGCATCTTAGTGAAGTGCAGTTTATATCAGTTAGGATCTAGCTCTCCCTTCTATAAGTGTATCATGTACATTTCAGTCTAAGAAAAATATAAAAGAAAGTGTCCATACTGGGAAGATTACTGTAAAGAAAAAATAGATTTAGATAAAAGAAAACTTATTGTGAACCAGAGAGGAAAAGTCACTTTTTAAGAGGGATTTTAGTGAGAAGGTGGCAGCTTGAGTGCCACGTATGGGAAAATGCTCCACGGCTAAGCATATGAATAGAGCAGGAGTGAAGATTTAAGGCTGGCGCAGTGGTCCGGGAAGAAAATACTGGAAGAATTGTGATGTGAGAGCTGTCTTTGCTCTAAAGGCACGCATAGAAAATCAGAAGTTAGCCCTGCAATAATTGTGAATTACCCTGAATATAACTATTACAGTATTAAATCCCATTCACTAATCGAAAAGAAATGAATGGTAACTGAGGCATAGAAGAGAACAGCAGCCTATATTGCTTCTACACAAGATCATAAAGTCACTGTTGGACAAAAATGAGGGCCATTACAATCCCCAAACTAAATAAATCGCCAAGATTATTTTACAGAAATTTTTACATCATCCACGGAATAACAAAAAAGGTTGAATCCTGAAAAAAAAGTTGTGAATAGTAGTTGCATGAATTAAGCTGATTCTGTTTGGATCTCTAATGATTTGCAAAGAACAGTTCTAGGAAGACTGACTATATCTTCTAACAGGTTCTACTACAACTATCCTTAGTTAGGCTTTGACTGGTCATGTTTATAGAAACTAACCTGACACAGCTGCAGGCAATAATTTCTGAGATGAACCTATGCTTCATACAGTGGGAGGAATATGTTAAGAGGCAGGAGATATTTAGGCAACTAATGATGGAAAGTTTCCAGCATAAGAGCAGCCAAGAAGCTTCTGTAAATAACTCGCAGTTTTGAACATAAGGCATTTCTGCTGGAGAGTCCTTGAGTCTGGATCTCCTGCTTCACTTGACCATGTGCCAGAGCTTGCAGCGATTGGAGTTTCAGGGCACATATCAGGCCCATCTGTTTGCTTAGCCTTTTGCCTGGAGTAGGCTGGGATACAAGCAGTGTGCCGTTCAAACAGTGCATTCTGCAAGTAGTCGGGATGGTGGTTTTGAGTTTCAGTCTTTGACATGGTCTTGGGTTGCTTGAGAAATCCCATGGAATAGTTTTATTTTGCTAAAGGCTGATGGCATTATTGGTAGATCCTGGTGCTGAGATAGTTGGCAATTTTGGAAATGGCTACCTATTCCTGTAACTAAAATGCAAATGGATAGATGGTATCAATGTATTTATTTAAAATTTTATGTGTACTCAATTCAGACACTCAGATGACAGGAAGGTTGTTTGCCTTAGAATCTCACACTAGAGAGAAAATAAGGTAGTGTGTAAGGGTGTTTTCTCACTTGATATTGGAAGTTTCCAGAATACAGGGCTGTGAATTGAACACGTGCATGCACATGCACACAAAGGCGCGCACACATGCACATACCTACCCCTATAAACATCAGGGTAATACAATCCTTCTCTAAACAACTTCTTTAGAAAACAAACTCTCCTCCAGTCACTTAAATTTCTACCAGGTCCAAACACCGGTGAAGTAAATTGCCAAATTACAGCACTCTGAACCACAGCAACCAGATTTTACAAGGGCTGCACATCCAAATAAATGCCCCTGGGCAACCCATTCATCTAACAGCTGGAAAGGTGACACTTGACATTTGGAAACTTTCCTGTGAAGATTGCTGTAAGGCTTTCCCATTAGCTTCCTGGTGAGACTGTAAGGTTGAATAAGCTGACTTGAAACCTACAAAGGGTAACGGAAATGCTCTAATATCACAAGCTTGCTCGATTTAAAATTCTAATTCTCAAGCCATGACTATTCAGATTTTTCCCAAAGTACTAAATACATTCCAGAAGGGAAAAAAAAATCAAGCTTTGAGGAGTAAGCAAGATGATAAAGGAAGTTTTTTAAGTGATGTGTGTATTTCTAGAGGTTAAAGAGGAAGGAGACAAAGAGGAGATACCCCTCTCTCCCCCTCTCACAGTTACCCAAATTCACAGTGCACTGAGAAATTAAGCAAGCGGGTCAGGGATTAAAGATGTTTCACACTCTGCATTTTCATAGGGTCTAAGAAGGCAGGACACAAACAGTGCTTTAGAACAAGTGAGAAAAAATATGCACAGATACTAACAACAAGCTTTCAGTTGAAGTATTTTTAGGAAGTGAAATCAGACCCCAACAGCATGAAATTGCACAAACATGCAATCAGAGAGGCTTTGAGCAGATGGATGGGGGAGAAAGACATCGAGCTGTTACAGTCCCAACTTCAGTTGTTCAAACCTCTTTTTGTGGGAGAATGAATCATGTACCATGCTTCTAAAAAGTGCCTTGCACTATGAACGCACTCTTTGTCAGCTGGTTCTCCACACAGGCTGTCTCCTGTCTCTGAAGGTTCCTCTGCAGCTCCTCTAGACTTTGTGCTCTTTCTTTTACTAGAAAAATTAGGGCAGAGGTGCTCAGTCAGCAACATGTAAGGAGCACCAAAAGGGAACATGCAGTTACCAGGTTTTTGAACCCCTGTTCTGTAACCCTTAAACTCACATTTCTCAGGTAAATTCTCCGTTGTGTTATTTTCCTCTGTGCATTCAGTGTTTATTTTTTGTTGGGTTCTTGTGTCCAGTTTATCAGCCTCATCAGAGCAACCTTTGGTTCCAGTGTAGATAATATGAGTACTCTGTAAACTGTTAGTACACTAAAAATGTCTTCCCTATGTAACAACATTGGCAATATTTAATTTTTAGTTTATGCACTATTGGGAGATTTTATGTTTTAATACTGATGGGCTCACTTCTTTTCCGCAATTACCCAATTAGGACTTCTACTTGCACTGTGTATTGTGCAGGGAGGCTTCCTACCCTTGAGCATAATTCAGAGCTGGGGCCAAGAAAATGTTGCTTGGATTTCAGTGTTAAGATGATGTAAGAAAGCTGGGTTCAACTACCCAAACTCAAGCATGTGATCCAAGCTGAATGAATCTGTAATGTTCAAATCACCAGATAATCTACGTATTAGTTTCTCAAAACTTGTACATTTAATCTAAACCACAATGAAATTATTTTTTCAAAGTATCTAAAACCGGATAGAAATGGGAAAGAGAAAAACACTTTTGAAAAGTCACCTGTATGTATCTGTGCATGTACCAGGAAGCTTGTTTTCCATCATTTACTGATTCCACTGTAGTGTTAGCAAGACCACCAATGTCACCCCCTGCAAAAACCCAGGGTTCACTTGTTTGCATAGTTTCCAGATCTACTTCAGGAAGACCCCATCTGTTAAACTTGATAGGTGCCATGGCCTCTCTGACTGTAATTAAAGTGGAGGACAAATATGTTAAAAGAAGAAAGAAAACACTGTTGCTAGAATCTGTCAGATATACACTGATAACAATTAGTAAAGCAGTTCCAAGTTCTTTAACTTACTTAAATGTAAATTTACAGTAAAAATGAAAAGTTTTTTTACATACATAAACACTTTTGTTGAGCTAGTGGAGGTATGTAATTACGAACAGGACTCAGACAGAAAAACAGCATACACTACATGGAACCACAGTTTAGTAGCATCAGAAAAGTAACCAGTTCCTGTGTGCCTGCAAAGCCATACTTGCATACAAAATAAATGTACACAAGTGTCACAAGAAGTGACTGACTCGATGCAGGCTCAAGAAATAATTGGTGCTAATGTTCTTCTGGTCACTCCCTGAGAACACACTGCATATCCCAGAAGCTGAGATTCACAAAGTCATTCTCACTGGCATCATTCATCTCCCAGGGAAAAAGTCCAGCACTTCTGAAAATCTTATTAATGAACAATATTAAGAAAGGAAAAACAAATTTTCTTCCTCTTCCTCCGCCCATAGCTTTGTACTGCACTTACCATATCAACATGTTTTTCTGTTGAGTAACCTACCATATACTCCTTTGTGCAACTTAATATGCAGCATATGATTTTTGACAAAAAAGAATGTTTCTGTTACAATTTCTAGAAATTCATTTAGATCTCCATAATTTACTTCCCACATTCATTAACCCTCACAACAGAAATGATACTCTGCTACTTTCTGACAGGTCATTATTAAACCTCACTGAAAATTTTCAGATGGAACATTTTCCCACCAGGAAATGTTATGCTACCAAAGATTTGGCTTTGACAAAGTGTGTTGGTTTTAAAGAAATTTAATTCTGAAAAAGATATGTTTCAATAAAGTCAAAACTATCCTGACTTAATATTTAAACTCAGAACATCCTGAAAGTAGGGCTCACTTTGAAACTTGTTACGTATATTAAGAATAAAACCATAAAAACACAATCAAAATGAAATGCTTACATAAAGACAATAGATTTTGTATCTTTTTCACTGCAAGTTCTGATGGTTTTTTAGAGCATTCATTAAGATATCCTAATTTTTTTCATGTCAGTAAACAGCACATATAGGCTTTCTCCACATGAACTATTATTGTCCTTAAAAAAAAAAGTAGATGTGAAAATAAAAAAGTAATTTTTTATACTGCATGGCATTATACAAATGGCATCAAATACACATAAATGCTCAGGAAAAAATATTCCTGCTCTATATTAACATAATTTTTATTCTGAATTTTTAAATTATTTTATTATAATCGCAAAGACACTTCAAAGTAGCTTCACAAAGAGAATCACATTTTTAGCAAATGTTGATGGCATATATCAAAATGAAGGGGTTTTATATACCTTTGTCTACAGTAACTGAAGATTCTGCAATAAAATGCAGCTTAAAATTGCAATGTCCCTCAGGGACGTACCACTAGCAGATGCAGATTGCTAAGGTCAATTAAACTGATGTAGTTGTGCTGTCATATATGTAAAAGAGAAACCTGCCAGTTTAAGACAAGAATATTTCTCCAGTATGAGGGCAAAGTCACAGTATTGCCCCAGTGCATGCCTGAGTATACAGCAAGCTTCAAATGCATCTTTCTTGCACGTCATCCTGATGGAATTTTCTTCCCAGACTCTGTATCTCCCTTCACCTCCAAATCATATATTAGAAGTGTATTTCAAAGCAGGGGCTGTTTATAATTAGGGGCAAAATAATAAAATAGGAAGCAAGGCACAAACATTGTCACCTACTTGTCCCACTTACGCTCTCCTCCTCACCCTTGGCATACATAAACATATATCCAGAGGACTCAAATCCAAAGTATTTTTTTGCAACTGGTTCAGAAGCCAGAATCACAGACAGTTTTAAGCTGAAAGACTGTAGCAGGTTCTCCTATTAGAAGTATTTAATTTATCTTCAAGACCTATTGCTTGCACAATCCCTCCCACACCACATATACTTGTGGCTTAACTTGGCAAAAATAATATTTGCATAGTAACAGCATCAAAAACTTACGAAATGGTTTCCTTTAAAAATACTTAAATTACTGAAAGATCACACCAAACACAACCTTCAGACTGAGATATTTTTCAGTCTGGAAAATGAGGGTTTTGGTTTGCTTGTTTGGGTTTGGGGGTTTTTTGGTATCTTTTTTTAAAAAGGAAAGTGCTGATAATGGCTGATAGCCGATTTATTAAGAATCAAAACATTAACTTTCTCTTTATGTCCCAGATTGTCTGTACTTCAAGAAAGCTTTTGATTGTCTTATATGTGTCATATATAGGATAACTTATTGCATGCAGTGGTACCATCTCAGCATGTGGTCTAGACAGTTCTCACAAGCTAAATACATACAGGCTTGTAAAGACATGTTTGGAAAAAACCCAGGGGAAAACTCGGTGCTGCAGGATTTGGTATCGGGGATTTAATAGATGACTTTTGTTTCTCTGAGACAGGACTGAACCACAGTAAAGGTGTTAGAGGGCAATGTGCTATCAGAGATGTAGTTTTTCAGAAGAAATGATATAAAACTGGAAGTTCTGACTACTTATTTCATCCTGTGGAAAAACAGGGTATTACCTCTGTTATCCTGGATCTATTACATTTCTCAAATCTATCTTTGGATTGTTTTGTGCTAAAATACCTGTCTGGACATAATTATACCAGAAGCTTTTTGAGTGCAAAGAATGCCCAACATACTTTCACCTGAAACATCTCCCCAGGGCCTGGAGATTTGTCTGCCTGATTAGTATTTTTAAAATTGGGAAAGACCGTTTCCCTGATGGCAAGGTTGACATGGTATCCAGCAGCTATTTCCTTCTGTCTTTATAATCTCCAAGATTTAGGTTAAGTAAAAATAAAAGCATGATTTAAAAGCATCTTATATAAGAGTTCCTAACATCCTCACAATTTGGATCTGGTACCCGGGGCAACTGTGAGGCTGAAGGGACCACCTCCTAGACCACCTGCATAAAGAAGGGGAAGAACTTTGGTCTTCACAAAGGGAAGTCCCTTCTCTGCCCCTGTAAGAGGTGAGAGAGGGTCTAAGAGTCAAACGTGAGCTTGAAAGGAGGTGACCCCAACTGTCAGTTCCCTGATTTGCTTTTTGACACTGAACAATAAGCAAACTAGATAGCACATGCTTTTGTTGGTGCACGATTTGGGACAGGGGTAAAGAAAAGAGTGTCTTTTAAATCCCTGCATCCTCACATCCTTTAAAGTTTGAAACTAACATAGCTTTGCTCTTGAAAATTAAAAGTACAATCCTGTGGCTGTGCTGCCTTCTCCTCCATATGCTGGTGAGATATTATATATAATTTGAAAAGATCCTTCTGGATGAAAGACAACGTACAATTGAATTTTTCTGATGCTATCAAGTGATGCTAACACAAATAACACCAAACAAAGGACAGTTCTGAATATATATTCCAAATTTTCTATATTCAGAGAGCAAACAAACATAAATGGAAAAGCAGCAGCAAATTATAGCACTTGCAAAAACAATATTAAAATATAAGTGAATACAGAAAAAATATTTTAATTAACAAAACTAATCAAATGGAAAAGATTCCTCAAATAAAGCTTTAAAAGTGAGTCTGTGTGTGTTTGACTGTCATGACTAATTATGTATCCATGTAATGTGTGTTCAATTTGGGCTTATTTAAATAGCAGAAATGCTCATTAGCTGCAGTATATCTGTGAAGCTTCAATAAACAGTTTAATGTTTTTTCTGTTTAACCAATTCCATAAGTTCCTGTAATTTTAGCTTTAGTAGCTCATTAATGTTATTTTTGATATCCATCTTACAGAATTCCTTTATAGTGAATAGTAGCAATACTTCAGAAAAATACAAATATACTGTAACAGTTGTCACATGCACCAATAGATGATTAACTGCTGACACTGCCCAGTCTAAATGCCCAGCAAATAAAGAAAGGCACAATCATGCTTCCCCCAGTCTCTGCCCCACTAGCATACTGAACCAGGATTAAAAAGTGGTTTGACTGGATAAAGTTGAGTCCAGGTATGCTAGGAGAGGCTCCTGCTGCAAGCTGGTACTAATTTTGTTTTCTGCCTGTCACCAGCAAGCAAATGTGTACTGATGCCTATCAGGTGAAAGAGCAGAATTCCTGCTCTAAGTTAGCAGGGTATTAGAAGACATCATGAAGCCCACCACTTTTACATATTGGAAACTGGTAATCATTTCAGGGTGTGAAACTGCTGCACTCAAACTCATGCAGTAAACCTACTTGTGGAGAAAAATCCTATTCCAAATGACTCAGCAGGAAAACTCCTACCTATTTCACTAGGAATCTATATAAATTTCAGTTTTATATAACAATTTTTAAAAAAGTCTGGTGCCTAAAAGTCTATTCTGGGCGTGTGAGGCAGATGTTCTGCTACCAGGGAGACACCAGGTCACCCCTGTGGGCACTCCCAGCTAGGGCATCACAGCCACCTCTCTTCCTCCCTCCTAGTCTTTCATTAGATATTCAAGGCTTCAGTGCTTTGAGGCTGAAGTTACCTAGCTGTCTGAGCAGGTTGTGTGAAGAAAGTCAACATTCCTTGCAGGTTCACTGGCTTCTGTAGCATTTCAAGTTCTGGATTTGTACAAAGGAAAACTAAAATATTTTTCACGTAGGAGCTCAGAGCTCTGCAAGCTTTTTCCCTTTTTCCCTAGCAAATGCTTCTCAATCTATAGAAATAAGTATTAATTAGGAGTGGGTTAAATAATAAAATTGGAAACTACTTGGGCAAATTTATCTTTGCTGTACGTTGAACTATACTGGGGGGACAGTAGTTATACTCTAGGAGGCCTTCTGGGGTTTGCTGCTGCAGTTCCCAAGCGAGATGACCATCATACTAAAAGTAAAAGCACAGTATCTGAAAGTTGTGACCGATTCCCAGAAATGTGAAATAAAATTTTGCCCTTCGGTTACCATGCAATACCT